TAGGGTCTTATTGTTAGATAGGGTCTTGTTGTTAGATAGGGTCTTCTTGTTAGATAGGGTCTTATTGTTAGATTGGGTTTTCCTCTGTCACAATGGCGAAGGGTGATCTGTTTTAAAATGGCTTGGCTTGGCTTGGCTTGGATCTTAGATGCTGTTGCACGCTCTTGCAAAATGATTGTGGAGTGCCGTTTCCACCGCCGGTCTTAGTAGTAGTCTCAGTAGTCGCCAGCCTGCTCCTCTAAAGTAGCGGTAGTCGCCCGCCTGCTCTTGTAAAGTAGTAGTAGTCGCCCGCCTGCTCCTCTAAAGTAGAAGTACTTTTCCGTCTTTTGAAGCTTTAGAGCGGTTAAGGGGGTCACAGGAGCAGGCTGTCGGCTACTCCTACTCCTACTGCTACTGCTAGTGCTACTGCTACTGCTACGAGCTACTAGCTACTAGCTACTAGCTACTAACTACTAGCTACTAGCTACCAGCTACTAGCTGGCTGCTACTACAGCTACAACAACACCAACAACAACAACAACAACAACAACAACTACTACTACTACTACTACTACTACTACTACAACGACTACGACTACGACGACTACGACTACGGTGATGACGACGACGACGACGACGACTACTACTACTACTCCTGCCACTTGTGCGGCTACTGCGGCTCGTGCTGCAAGCACCACCACTACTACTACTACTACTACGACGACGACGACTACTACTACTACTCTGCTGGTTATGCCGGTGCTGCTAGAGCAGCAGCACCGGCAACGGCAAGTTGCACAGTAACACAAACGGAGGTTGGGGCTTCAAAAACATCACAGTCCTACAAATCAGAATAGGAGCAACCCACCCTCAAAGATGAAAGCCGAAGCCAGGAGCCCACCCGGGCACGTCGAGCGCGCTCTGGCGCCGTCTTCGGTGTTTGGAGCCCAGAAGTTGGAAAGACTTCAGCGGCTGAGGATCAAGAGCATTCCAGATTTGGAAGTGGGTACACGTCCGGACTTCCCGGACTTCCCGAAGAAGCACTGTCGAAAGAGTTGTGCAGAGGGGCAAGTTCGCCGATTGCAATGCTCTTCTTCCAGGCTGTGGAGTACGCAAGCAGCAGTTTCGACTCCTCCCTCCAGTTGTATGCGGGCGCGGCTTGGCAGAGGAGTCACAAAGCTAAAACATATTGAAGCATGTATTGATTGCTGTTCCGATAAACCGTAGAAACCCCAATGTCCCGAGCCCTCAAACCGAGACTCCTGCATCTTATTGTCGTGAAGGCGTTCGCTTCGGACATCAATGTTCAGGGCTGCTGACGTACTGCTCAGAGGTGGAGCCAAGAGACCTTCAAATTCAAGCTTGGAGGATCTAAGATTCCTAAGGCGTTGCTCTGGTTTTCTAGGCCCTCGCTCAAATGTCAGCTAGCTTAGCAGCTCAGACAGCGACCAGTCCATAATGTTGGTATCATGAAGAGACCCTTTCTTTCAAAGCAGCGGTTCTGCGCAGCGTTCTCGTTTCGAGGGCGGCTGTCTACATGAATCCCCACTTTTGACAAGACATCCAAAATATGACCCCGGGAGAGTAAGGCATGCCTCCGCTGCACGGGCACATCCGTCGGGAAAAGCGAGGCCCCGCGGATTTCTCACTCAAGGCCATGCATATTGGGAGGAGGTATGTAAAGTAGCAGCATGTAGCCTCGTGGCTACGGTGCAGCAAGGCATCGTCAGCTTTCTGACAGACTCCCCGTTCTGCGGTAGCCTCTCTTCTTCGGGCCACGTATGGTGGTTCGAAGAACAACGGGCCCTCCTGTTGCATTGCAAGAGCTACAATCTGTGTCATTCGAGTCGTCAGGTTCTTGTCATACCCTTTGACGCCTTGCGCAGCAGGGAGTTGGAGGCCGCGTGTTACACAGACAGCAGACACGGCTGCACTGCAGCCGGTGAAGCTACCGACAGTCCGTGGAATCCGCTCGAGTTGTTTTTTGCATTGTTCGGTCGACTGCTTGGCATACCTTCCAGACGTGTAGAGCTACAGTTTACTGATGGTGCGACAGGAGGCAAAGCTCTCTCTTGTGCTGCGGTCTGCTTCTCAGACATCGAGAAGTGAATGCATTGACCTTATCCTTGGGCGGTTGACACTTCACGAACATGGCTCCAGCTTGGCAGATTTGAGAGCATTTACTCTGGGTGTGAAAAGAGCGTTGCTTGGGGTGACAAGACTTTAGGGCAGTGCCGTGCTTGCGACCGGCGAGTTTGTCCAAGCAGGTTCCATACGGGTCTTGCAACAGGGCAATGAAGTCAGAGGCACGTCATGATCAGATAGGATGAGCAGCTAAACACAGAGAAAAGAGCTCTTCGGAGCATTGTTGGCCAACCGGCTACATCTGGAAACCAACCAGAAAGTCTCTCCTCCACGGGCAAGTCAACCAGCTGCGGTGAGCGCTGGACGAGACTCGGATCGTCCCTACCACGGGCAATTGGCGTATCAAGAGTTGCAGGCCCAGCTGAGGAAGGAAACGAGTAGGAGGGAGAATCACCAGCGTGATGCCCGTCATCATGAGTTGCATTGTGCTGTGCTAATCTCATTCTTTGTCTGCATCTACTACACAAACCAACCGCATTCAGTCTTCAAGTCTAGTCTTGAGAATCTTATCAGCAATATCGACATCATCAGCATCAGCATCATCATCAACCTCCTCCTCATCATCATCATCGCTGCATCACCGGCGCATTACAGCATGGGGACGGAAAATGTTCCTTTTCACCAGTGCTCGAGACGCCGACTAACCAGAACCTCCAATGCTGAAGATCCCGAATCTATCCTGGCAACATGACGAGGACATGGCTTTCGCGGCTTGCATCGACTGCACTCATCGCCTCCACGCACAACGCCGCAAGCTCGGCAGGAACCTCCCCGGCTTGGTTATGATGACGGGGTTCGTCCGCGGCCCACTGCGGCTATGCTCAGGTCCACACTTCGGCAGACTACCTGGTACATACCATGCCTCAAGGGTTTGGCTTCGAGTTCTTATTCCTGTGCTCCCTGAACCCTAAACCCCTGCACCCCAAAATACCCCAAACCCTACTTCTGCTTAGGATCCTCTGAGCAATCTTCACTGGAGAGAGGTTCGGCCTGGGCCTCGGTGCAGTGCGGAAACGCAGAAGCTCTTCGATCGGCCTCGACTGCTAATGGTACGAGCAATAGTACTGGGATGATAGCGAGTAATGGTACGAGCCGTAGAAGTAGCAGCAGTAATAGTAATAGTAGTCGCAAAGTAATAGTCCTCGTAGTACAGTAGTAATAGTGTGTTTTGTGAACGTAATAGTAGTGGCAATAGCAATAGTAAGATGTCGGGCGCAAGATGGGTCATCGTGTTGGAGCTGTGACAGACCATCCTCTACTTTCCCCATGCGCCAAGGTTCCAAAGCCAAGATAGCAACCTCATGGTGCCTGGCTCAGTTTTGTTCTGTAATATCGGATTCAAAGATGAGTCCGTGAGAGAGCAGTGCAGGTCGGCAGCGACCAAACTCGACATACCTAGAACAAAGTATGTATATATATATATACACATACATACATTTTTACACTCACACTGTTGTGATTGTGATCAGTCGGATTATCATTAACGCTACTGTTATCAGCCATACAGTAGCCGCTCACCCTTGCAAACATGCCTTTGCAGTGCAGCTAAGGTCGTTTGATGGGCTGATGGATACTGCTTCGTCGTGCATTCCTGTTAGTGACTTCGCTCGGTCCTACAGTGGCCACCTTATCCTGCGATGCATGTGATTCAAGTCCTTGCACATGCGAAGATGCTGCCAAATCGCAGGACACGGGGCCGCCTACTCAAAGGCCAAGCCTCCTACTTTTAGAACTTAGGTTTAATGTGTCTGTGCAGACAACCTCCTCCTGACTTCTGTAGGCTGTTGCACATAGGTTCCCGCCTGGGCCAAGTCCGCGGATGGATGTGCAGCGTCATTGAGTAATACTAATACATGCATCGTGGACAGTTGGCTGAAAAAAGCAAAGCCTCTGTGCGGAGGCAAACATTCGAAGGCATGTTATGGACCAAGTTAAGCAGAATGTCTGCAGAGTTCAGGCCTGGCGATGTCTCCAGAATCACGATCCCAGCGAGCATTCCTGGCAATACTTCCCCTAAGCCCGAAACCGGGTACAGCCGCAAATGCCCATCACCAAAATCCTAACTAAACTCTAAAACCAAAGACCCCAACCAAACCCAAAAAAAAAACCAAACCCCAAAAATCTCGGAGAGAGGGACCATTTGGACTTCGAGCAGCTGCCGCTGTTGCCCTCTGTGATCCTGGGATGTCGAGGCATGACTAAGGTAGTCGAGTAGTAGCAGTAGCAGTACTAGTACTAGCACTAGCACTAGCACTAGCACTAGCACTAGCACTAGCACTAGCACTAGCACTAGCACTAGCACTAGCACTAGCACTAGCACTAGCACTAGCACTAGCACTAGCGCTGCTACTACTACTACTACTACTACGACTACTACTACTACTACTACTACTACTATTCCCTCATCGTCCCTCTGTGCTTAAGACTTCGCCTTGATGGGCTCTTGCAGGCACTCGCCGGCAGGTGAATTTTCATGCTGTACGACGGCAAGCAAACCTATCACGCACGCAGACGCACCTCGCAGAACCAAATCCACGTAAGGTTTCAGAATCAACTGCTGCAGTGAATCACTTGAAGTGCCGCTCGATCCATTCATGCACCGGCAAGTCCACTCAACCCGCCTACTGCGCGGTGCCAATGCCTTAAGAAGGGCAACTGCAGTCTGCAAGGAAACATCAAGCAAAGCAACAGGCATGGTCATGCGATAAGGGTTCGCAGCCCAGCACGATGGCAATGTCAGAGCTCTTCTTCGCGCGAGCCTCAGAAGTGTCATAGGCTCTCGAAACTCCTAAAGTTCTGGCACCACTGCTTCAAATTGAGATGATCCAGGCTGGATGTTTCTTCTTCGTGGTGGCCCTTGCAGCCTCCTTGTCCGGCTCGGCATGTTTGAACCTGGAACACCAAGTATAACCCATATTAGGGGACTTATAACTTCACTTATAACTGCCCATGAACCCTAAACCCTAAACCCTATAGAACCCTTTAAACCTCCCCAGAACAGCGAGCTGTGACCCTCAAAGTCCGATCGGCAGACCTCCCTGTCTGGTAGTGGACATCAGAACGATTTATGCCTGGATATGCGACGCTCTAGGCTTGACAAAGCAGCATTACTCACAGTCATACCTTCAACGGAAGTCTCCCAACCCGGAAAATCAGCTCGGGGAGGATGGCCTACGTTGCCTGGAGAGGCTCAAAGCCGCCACCTCAGAAGTGCAAGGATATCAAAGGGGTCTCTTCAAGTGGAGCTTGTTGGTGCAGGTTCGGCGTGTCAGGATTTTGCAATGTCGCTCTCGAAGTGTTTGGGTGGGTCCCAAACCATGTCCGCAAGTTTGGTTGATGGTTCAAGCAAGGGGACACTGGCTTTAGTTTGCCGAGCACCCGCACAGCTACTCGAGCCAGGATTTACAAATGCCCTCTCGCTTAGCTTGATATTGGGCACAGCTGAGACTGTCAAAGTACTGCATGATTTTCCACAGAAGCAAGCATGCTTGTGGTGTCCAGGCCCAGCGAGTTCTTCGTGGAGGCTGGGCATTGTCACAAGCTTCAGACACGCTGGCATTCTCTAAAGTGCATCTGCCCAGCGCAGACTCACGTTGCAGATCAGTGTCGTGGGTCAAAACATCATAGAGTGTCGGGTTTAAGTTTAAGGGTTAGAAAGCAGGGGTGACTCGGGTGACGATTCTCTTCAGGGTTTTGGGGATTTCGGTTTTGTCGTGCCGGACCCAGTGGACCCCGTGGCGAGCAGATGGTGTCTCAACAGATGAAGGCCCAGCTACTGGTAGGGGAGGAGAAGAGAAGGAAGGAGATGCAGCAGCAACAGATGAAGGAGAAGTTACAGATGCAGCGGAGTGAGATAGGTCAACTTCACGCAAAGTCGAGAAGGCGGAGGCAATGCTGCCGAAATCGGCAGAAGGAGGAGTGGCATCGACAACTCCAGGACCAGCTGACAGCTCGTGGAAGATCGATGAATGCACTGTGCGGCAGCGCGAGAATGAGATACTCGGAGCTCTGCTGGGGCATGCCGCAGTGCAGCTGGCTGCCCGAGAAGATTCGAGCTTGCTAGAGAAACTTCTTACGGAGCTGGAGGTGGCTCCCTTCACGGTGTCGAAGGAGCACGAAGCGGTAGAACAGCTCCGTCAGAAGCCAGGAGCATGCATCTCTAGTGCGAGAGCAGCAGCGTCGTAAAGCCTTCGGGGCCGATATTTCAGAGTTCCTGCAGAAGCTGGGACGACTATATCCAGGCATAGCGCAGAATCTTTTGTCACCACGTGAAGCCTACTGCGCATGGAGCTGGAGGTGGCTAAGGCCGTAAGGGCCGAGCAAGACATGTTTCAACAGCACAATGCCTTTCATGCTGGAGCTGCAGAGTTTCTGCGGCAGCTGGGGCAAAGGGCGGCAAGCACACCCCCCGAAATATCTTACAACAGCCTGCATAGATCAAATGACCAGTTGACTTCGATGAAGGCATTTACAAGGGAACATGTAGGGTCATCCGTTCATGCCCGTTTTTTCTGGACTGTGTTGTGCTTTCGGAAGACCGTTCTCGTCTTCTGGCTGGTGAATCTGAAGAATCTATGCCTTTGAAGCGCATTGGTGGAATTTGAAAGCTCTCTTATCCTCGCCATTGGTTGGCCCCACACTGCCGCGTTGCTGCTAGCTGCTACTGCTAGTGACGATGTGGTTAGCACTCTGTCTTCAATGACAGTGAACGTGGTATTCGCCGTCGCCACCAGAATCACCATCGTCGTCAGAATCGTCACCACCACCTCCGTCGTCGTCATCATCATCCTCTTAGTCGTCAGCTCCGGTTTGGGGCGGCACTGGCATCAGCGTAAACGTCGTCACAGTTATTGTTCTCATGGGCATTTCCATCAGAACTTTATTAATTATCTGATCTCGTCCATCTTTGCCATCAGAGTCAGATTCCTGCGGTCCAGGTCAACCTCAACCACAACGACGACGACCACGACAACAACGACGACAACAGCCACAACAACAACGACGACGCCGACGACAACGACAGCGACAACAACGGCCATGGCAACGGCAACAGGGCAACGGCAACCACAACAACGACGACAACGACCACCACCACAACAACAACAACAGCAATGACTATAACAGCACCATGCAAGCAGAAGCAACACAGTCACAGCAACCCTAGCCATAACCAAGCAGTCACAATAGCAGCAGCAGCAGCAGCAGCAGCAGCAGCAGCAGGAGGAGCAGCTCCTCCTCCTGCTGCTGCTACTGCGGCAACATCGTCATGAACCACTTGGCCGTTCAGCCGGAGCGGCCTAAACCACAGCCCTAAGATTTGGCCTGATTCCTGAATCACACAGTCAACAACCGCTTAACTTCTCCAATGTTCGGAAGCTTGGAACCGGCATGGCGCTTCTTTTTCCGGCCCAGGCATAGGTCATGCTATAGGTTGCTTTGGGCGAGAATCCGTGGTTTCTTCGTTGACATGAACAGCAATGATTTCAATGACGATGGTGGCGAGGAGAATTGCTGGCAGAGGACGATGTTTATCATGGTGCTGCTGGCACAGGTGATGACAATGCTGACCATGTACCGGCAGAGGATTGTGATGGACTTGGTAATGTTTATATAGTTTCAACGATGGTTCATGCGAAGAAGAAGAAGAAGGATAAAATTTGATGATCATGATATTGATGATGGCATGATACGAATGAGAGATTGTCCCTAAAGGGACCTGGCCGAGCAAACTCGTGCCCCTGGTTCTGCAGGCGGTGCAAGAGACGTGCGCACATGCTTGTGCTTGTGACACGTCGGGTTTGACGTTTCGAGCAGTGACACTGAGCGCAGGCTACCCTGTCAGATGGGGTTGGACAGAGCACCACCCCGACAGGTACCAGTGCGAGTTGTCTGAGGCCGAGATCATTGCCTACTACGAGCTGCTTGAGCCCTAGTGCACGCAGTCAGACATCACAAATTTCGTTGCAAATCACACAAACCAAATCCCTCCCGCTGAAAGCCAAGCCACCCTTGACTTCGCGCGAGATTTCGTTTGATTCGCCTTGATGCATCGTATGCGAGGAAAGAGCGTCTGCGACAGCAGAAGGCTCCGGATGCACCGGTGGAAAGCACAGAGCCAGAGGTGCCTTGCAATTAGACGGCACAATGGGCGCAGGGCTTGGAATGTTCGGTTTGTTCGGTCGTTTCGAAGAGTTCAGGTAGTGAGACACGTTTCATTCCTGTCAACTCTTGCCGCAGGAGCAAGATGCTTGGGTTCGTCAAGCCCTCACGCCGGAGGACGGACTCCGGAAATGGGCGCCCCCCTGTCCCGCATTCCAGAATGGCTTGCAGGAACGCCGGGTGCTACAGCAGGCCTTGATGAGGCGCCCATCCAGCCGATCATTTCAGAGTCAAGAGCTCGTGCTTCTGGGAAGGCGGCTTGTTAGCTGCCTGGTTGGGGGCCCAGATGTAGCCGTCCCCTGCCCCCCTGCCCTGCCAGAGGGCACAGCGAGAGCGAATCCTGAGGATCGGCTTGACCAGGTGCAGCGAGACAAGCCAGGCCAGGAGCAAGGAAAGCACCGCTTGTCTTTCTGTGATTGGCTCTTTTTCAGGCAACTACCGGCTCTGGCGTGGTAAGCTGGTGTCGGAGCGGTACTGGGCCTCGCTGCTGGAGGCTGGGTGGGCGCGGACAGGAGGCTGAGCGTGGGTTCTCGGATCTGCTAGCGTGTCTGTTGTTGACCCTTGGGTCCAGGCCGAGCAGATAGTCTCCGACGAGATCAGTAGTTGCGCGCCCTGGTGGCAAGTGAGAGCCGGTCATCACCGTTTTTTCCGGACAGCCGGTTGTAGAACAGCATGCGTGGGGACAGGTTTGTAGCCAAGAGCAGTGGAGAGACCACTCTTAGCACTTTAGGGTTGTGACATAGCTTGGCGGCTTTTTAGCACAACGAGGCGCATGCAGCAAAGCCCGTGGAGGCTAGACTAGAATTCATCTAGTCTGCGCGGCAGATCTCATGATCTTTTTTTGGGCCAAGCCAACTACGAGCCCAGGTATCAGAGGCAGCCATTCTGGAACCGGGCTGGAATTACCGGCGACACTTAGAGTTGTGCTGAGCTTGAGAGGGCCGGGCTCTAGAGAGAAGGGCAGTTTCTGCATGTCCCCGGGCCTCCAAAACAAGCCCGGCCTCTTTCAGCTTACCTTGCGCAAGGAGGACTTCACAGGCCATGTCCTCGGCTTTCATTCTACTTTCAATTATCCCAGCAGTGCGACGCGAGCCGAAGGAAGGTTTCGGGCGAGTCTACGCCAAGCGGACACGTCTGGTTGCCCGACATCCTTTTCTTCTACCCCCCCCCCATGTGCCGAGTACAGCATTCGGGTGGGTGCCTCGCGTTCTTGGAATCCAAGTCCTGGTTGGCGTGCTGGGGACCAGAGGGCGTTTGAACTTGTGGCTGCTGGCCGCCCTGTTCAGCAACTATGCCCTGCATCGGGGTCTTTGCTGATCGGAGCCTTCGTGACATGAGGCTGTCGTCAACTTGGAACTGGTGTTCACAATATATTACGAAAGCTTCCATCGCAGCCGATGCTCAATCGCATGCTTCGTGATCCATGGCCGCCCGTGCTACGCAAAGCATTTCTGCTAGACAGGATGTCTGGAAGATACTAGCAGGCTCGATACATTCTGAGGGCTTCAAAAGGCCTCCTTACAACTCGGAGCCGCGTCGAAGTGAAGAAAACACGTGGGCAGGCACCGTTCACAGTCCAACTACATGTGACGCCTGCTCTAACCAGACAGCAACAGCTGGCTCATCCGAGCAAGCCAAAGATATTGGAATGCCTCTACAGTCTTTGACGGCTGCGCAACTTGTATGACCTAAATGACTGCGTAAACGTATGATGTTGACCGGTGGGTGGATAGAAAAGGCTTGCGTGGCGGATGGAAACGATGGAGACTACTCCAAAGAGCGTGGTGCTTTGTATTCAGATCGGGCGACACAAAATGACTGCTTGTAGCATGTCTGGAACAAAGCGCAATGGGGGGACCATCAGGCATTTCTGTTGCCTGTGCCATTGTCCTTCCGTCCGTCCGAGGGAAGCCTCCTGCGTGTTCGGGTCCTGCAAGTCTTTGCCAGGAACGGCCACATCTTTAATCAGGCCGTGGGTGCTGCCGGATGTAGACGAGAATTGTTTCAGTAGCCAGCAACAACGAGGATGTCGCGAGGTTGCAGAGCTCAAAGAGTGTGTTTGCCTAAGTGTTGATGCTGTGCAGGCTGTGCAGGTATGGCGCATGCAAAAGCAGCAGCAAGCCGAGAAGAAAGAGGCAGAGAGTATGTCGATGGGCCATTATGTAGAGCTTTGTAAGCACCTCAAAAGCAAACTCCCAAGAATTCAGTAGTCTTGCGAGGTTTAGTCTAGTCGATGATGGAGCAGGAGGCTTTCGCGTGATGACGACAGGTCAAGAAGGATAAGGAAAAGGAAAAGAAGGAGCGAGAGAAGGCTCACGCCTCATTTTCACGCTTGTCCACATGTGGGTTGGCTCGGGCTCAGATTTGCAGTTCAAGCGACAGACTCTTGCAAGCTCATGTGCGCAGTGGCCTTTCAAAGCTGTTCGGAAGCTGTCTCGCTACATTGACATCGATATACCATAAATATAGAAAGGAACACCCAAAACCCTATTCTAACTGCGAAGGCCCCTACACCCTAAACCCTTACAGTAGCCATTATGGGACCCCTCATAGCAACCCCTTTAAAGGAACCCTATTCTAACTACTAAGGCCCCTACATTACATCGAAGATTCAAGTAGCCGCTAGCCTTGGCCTCCCCAAGGCCGAGAAGCGAAAGGAAGTGGAGGCCAAGCTGGCCCAAGAAGAGCAGATCAAACAGGACCGAAGCTCATTGGGTTTAGGGCTTAGGGGGCCTAGGGTTTAGGGTTTAGGGTTCTAGGGCTTAGGGGGTTCAGGGTGGTTGGATACTTCAACTTCGGAGTTTCCGAAAATTAGGGGTACCTTATTTTGGGGTCCTTATAATAAGGATCCTATTATTTGGGGTACTATATTAGGGTCCCCTATTTTCGGAAACCCCCACTTTTTCCTTTGCGAACTTCGGGAAGTTGGAAGCACTCTGCTGGCTGAAAAACCATCAAGGAGAAGCTGGCGAAGAAAGCCATGGAGCAGCTGCTGCGCGAGGAGGATGTTTTGGGTGGTTTGGGGCCTCGCGACTTCAGAGTTGCAGAGATGTCTTGGCTCGCATCCTGCCGGTGCAAAGTTTCGAAGTAAAGTCAGCGAGCACAGAGCCACTTCACACTCTTCGTGCTACCTCTAAGGGGCCCGCAAGTCTTCTCAGAACGTTCAGGTTTTGTTTGGCAGCTCTCGATTGAGTTTATGCCGAAACTAAACTACAGGAGTTTCCAATTCAGCCTGTGAGCTTATGTTTCTGTGCTTGCCATCTGCATCGCAGAGGAAGCTTCCACGAAGGCCGGTGAACTAAGACACGGACTGCTGTGGGATGGCTGTTCGTCGATGTTGATGCCATAAATCAATTGCTGACCCTACTTACAGTGCTGTCTATGTCGTAGTGGTGATGTGGTCAGGTCAAACAGCGGCCGGCTGTTAAGGCCAAGAGCAAGAGCAAGAAGTGATGCAAGTATGCTTGCCCGAGGTGGTGCATCCGCGATTCTGCTTTAGAGCATCTCCATTATCAAACCAATCTTGGCGTCTGATCGTGACAAAGCAGACAGATACCAAATGTCTTCGACTGCTCCACCACTCGCGAAATCCTGTCTCCCAAAGGGTAGATGCAACCGTCGTACCAGCCAGAATAGCTTCTCCAAAAAAGGGTCTCACTTCCCCCATCAGCAATGACCAATAAGTTATCTGCATTTATCGGTTCGCATAGGTTACCACATTTACTATGTTTATGATACCGAGATTTGACATATATTTTCGATTTACATCACATCTTTAATCCAGCCGAATCCGGTATAGAGTAAACATGAACAAAAACAAATGTATGTTATGTATATATACATATCTAGAAACATACTTTACAGAATATTCTCTTATAAAACGGTGTCGTGCTGCTTGCGCCCGTGATTCCGTGCGTGCCCCTGACCCCCTGTAACCTCGTCCTTTGACGCTGTTCCTCTTGAAAGCCTCTTGCGTGTCTGTCTCGTGGTACTGACATTTCGGAGATTTTAGTACCGCGAGCACTTCTGTCCCAGTGCTAAAGTTTCAGGAATTTTGGTAGCTTCAAGGAACTCTCGCGTTATTGAAATTTCAAAAATTTTGGTAGCTTTAGGTGACATGCTCCCGATAATAAGATTTCCGAAGTTTTTGGCAGGCATGCTCGCGGTCATAAAATTTCCGAAAGTGCCGTGCTTTCTGAATGCAGGTGTCTCTCTGTGTGTCTGTGTGTCTCTTTGTCTGTATGTGTGGGCGTATGTCTCTGGGCGTGTCTCTGTGTAAGAATTGTTGTATGTGGGGGGGGGGTTGTGTGGGTAAGTCTCTTTATACATCTCTCTATATATTTTATCTATATAATTGGTTAGTCATCTATTTATTTTTAGATTTTTTATTTGCCTGAATCATGTCTGTTCTATATAATTCTTGAGATTGAATAGAAGAATAAGATTATGAAATATATCATTAAGATAATTAGAATATCATGATATTTGATTAAGATAAAAAGATTTCTATAAAGATACTAAACTATTATATAGAAATTTAAAGATTTATATAATTATATCTCTATCTTAGATTTTTATTTATATTATGATTATTTAATCTAGTTATATAATTAAGAAATAAGATATAGATATCTTAATTAATCTAAGATTTTGAATTAAATTTCTAAGATCTTGAAATATTTGGGGTGAATTAGAATATTCTAGAAATGAATTCTATCTTTAAATAAGCATATATAATAAAGATTTCATAGAAATGATAATTCTTCTATATTTGATAGCGATAAATTAAAATCTCTTATTCTTTATAATAACAATATGCTAGGCTAAATATAGGAATATTT